TATATTAGAATCACCAATGTCCCAAATGAGTGCATGAATAGTTGTATATATGTTATTCAATTAATTAAATAATTAAAAATTAGAAGAAATAAATCCAATAAATGAATTGAGAAACAAAAAAGCACTAAAAAGTTTGAAAGTTAAAAAACGCTTCCATTAAAACATATGTCTTGGAATAATCTATATCTATATATAAAGCAGAAATTTGACATGATGACGTCATCTCATACCAAGATTCCTCCCTTTTTTTTTTCTCCTTTTTTTCCTTTTTTTTCCTTTTTTTTCCTTTTTTTTAACCATTCCAACCTTAAACCTTCACCCTTCCAACTTTAAACCTTCAATTACGTTTTCCCTTCTTTCTTCTCCATTGATAATCATCGCCGCACCTCCACCGCCTGCTAATGCTAACAGTCCGACATGCCTGGTTTCGGGTCGCCGCCGAACACGTTAACGGAACCCGTGTGGGATACGGTGAAACGAGATCTTTCGAGGATTGTTAGTAATTTGAAGTTAGTTGTTTTTCCGAATCCATTTCATGAGGATCCGGGGAAAGCTTTGTGAGATTGGGATCTTTGGGGGCCGTTTTTCTTCATTGTGTTTCTAGGGCTCGTTCTATCTTGGTCCGCCTCGGTAAAGAAGGTGTGTTCTCTTTCTATTGCATCATGTTGTTTCATTTTAAATTTTAGGGCAGTGCACTAAATGATAGTGAGTTGAATGTAATAATCCCTCTGTTTTATGTAATCTCATTCNTGATAGTGAGTTGAATGTAATAATCCCTCTGTTTTATGTAATCTCATTCAAAATACACATATATTTGTGTGTATGTATATGCCATTCTTGGTTTAGAGTGAATTCTTGCTTAAAAAATTGAAATAGGTTGTGAAAATTATGCGTCTCTGCATATGGGTTCTTCCTTCTCTTAATGGGTGGCCTTGAAATTTGATTATTTTCTTCTATCAACAGGAAAAGGGTGTTGATTAGTTATACAAATTTTATTATCTTTTTCATGGCCATATGCAAATCTCAAGGACCTTCATGATCACATGGAATCTATTCTTTCCAAATCATTAAGTTTGAATGAAAAAGATGTAACAAGGGTGTTAAGATCCCTAAGTTTTCATGATCATCGTGGTTCTTGCAAGCTTGCAAAGATGAGATCATTTGGTTCAAGTAGGATGATTGGAGGGTCTCTAAGCTTGCAAAGATTAGATCAAATGTTCTTCTAATGAAGAACACTACACACCTGCAATAAGTCCTGAAGCAAAGAGGATTGTATCACCAAAGCCACTCATGGACCCTGATCTGGCTGCAGAAGCTGCAGAAAAAATATAAAAGTTTCCGAACCAAAAGATAGCTAGCTGATTGTGCAGTCTTGGTGGAGAAAAGATGGTTAGTATTCTTTGATTTGTTAATGGTAGTTTGCATGGATTTTTTTCACTTTTTATGCATAGAGGATGAACCAAATGGACCCGACGAAAATGGTTGAAAGAATTGTGTAATGTTGTAGGGTATTAGTTTGAGACGGGTAGTTTTAGTAATTTCCCAATCTTACGGCATCTTCCACCTATTTTGATGCAACATGAAAAAAATGCATTGCACCCAACTTTCTGTCCCAATTTAATGTTATGCCAAAAGTGCGAACCAATTGTAGTGTTTTATGATACATTTTTCTAAGCAACTATCCACCACATTTTACGCAGATGGAAGCTTTTAGATTTTGTTGTGCTGAAATGCAGCTTGGTATCATTCTTTGAAGTGGAGAAACCAGAAACCGATGTTTCGCGTTGATCACCTTTCTTACGTTAAACTCTTTCCTTCTTCCTCCTTTAATTTATCTACTTTTCCTTCTCCACACCTTTGGTGTATCAACTACCAAACTTGTGATCACCAAGTAAGAGAGTGAATATGATTTAACCACAAATTACACTTCCATGCTGAAATCGTGTTTTCAGGGCCTGTTTTGGGCTCTTTCCTTCTTTCTCCTTCAATTTGTCTACTTTCCCTTCTCTACACCTTTGGTGCAAAACTACCAGGGGTTCCCAAACCTATGATCACCAAGTAAGAGAGTGAATGTGATTTATCTGAAAATTATATTTTCATGCTGAAATTGTCAAATTTTGTTGGTTCTATTCCCTATATGAGTTGGTGTTCTTTTTGAATTCTCATTATGTGGAGATGCTCTTTCTTTTAATTAGAAGGTTGGACAACAATTGGATGAGGTGTATGGTGATGAGTTATGGTGCAGCTCTGATTTAAGGTATGTGGATTTCTGTTTTGGATTTTGATATTGGGGAAATAAAGTGGTTGGTTATTATTAATATTATTTTTGGTAAATGGTGGTTGAGTGTGAGGAGAATTTGGATGAAGAATGGTGTTGAAATATGTGATTTTTCATGGTGTAAACCATCTATGCTTCTGTTAAATCAACTTGATCTGCTCAATTTGAATGTTTTAAAACTTTGGGTTGCTATTTTGGGCCACCTTGGACTTTGGAGATGTCTCTCATATGGTTGGCAAAAGCAAACTTTATTATAAAAATATTAATATATCATATTTTTTTATGAATTCACAATAATGTTGAATAGGCTGTTTGCCTGTTTGCATCACAAGAATTCACAATAACACTAAAAATCTAAATTTATATCTCTCTTCTTTCTCTTTGTCTGTGTTCACTAAAAAAATATATGCTAACAAATGAAAACTTTTATGTATGTGTGTGAATTTGTGATTGAATAATGATTAATCATTTACGACTTTTGTGGCAACCACTTTGACTTTTTAATTGAATCGACACTTATTTTACCCTCATATCATTTTTAAACGAGCGAAGTTGGATAATCTCCTCGAATTCCAGATTTGTTAATGGTAGTTTGCATGGATTGTTTTCACTGTTTATGCATAGAGGATGAGTTCAAAAGGTCCTGACGAAAATGGTTGAAAGAATTGTGTAATGTTGTAGGGTATTAGTTTCAGACGGGTAGTTTTAGTAATTTACCAATCTTACGGCATCTTCCACCTATTTTGATGCAACATGAAAAAAATGCATTTTACCCAACTTTTTGTCCCAATTTAATGTTATGCCAAAAGTGCGAACCAATCGTAGTGTTTTTATGATACATTTTTCTAAGCAACTATCCACCACATTTTACGCAGGTGGAAGCTGYTAGATTTTGTTRTGCTGAAATGCAGCTCGGTATCATTCTTTGAAGTTGAAAAACCAGAAACCGTTGTTTCGCGTTGGTCAAGAGCAAGAACCCGAGCTGCGAAGGTACCCATCTTTTCAAGAAATAGATGCATAACCAAACGAGCTAATATATCCCACTCAAAAGGGGTTAAATCGGTTGTTTTTGTTTCTCTAAACATGTATATTTATTTCTCAAATGACAAGTTGGTAAAGGCTTGTCAAAAAACAAAAAGGCACGTAACTTTCTTTACAACATTGGCTCGAGGCCGTAAGTCTTCACTCTATGATTAAATTGTCTTTCAATGATATGTTTCTTATTAAATTTATGTATCAAACTCTAATATACCACCGTCTTATCAAAACAGATTGATCCTCGACATCACTACGGTCATAATCTTCAATTTTATTATATGCCAAATGGCTTCATTGCGAGAGTTGACAGCCCTTTTTCTACCGGTAAGATTAAACCTACCTTAATGATAGATAATAGCGTGCTCAAAACATATGAACGTGGCCAAAGTTCTAACTGCTCATACTATATCTCAGGCTCGACATATGGGAAGGGAAAGAGGTGAATCTTGAACAATGCCCGCGCCTAAAGCTTAAGCAACAATGCATCAAGTATCTCAGACCTGTAAGTTTTATAATATTTATACATATGGATATAAATATCCTACTTGTTTTTGTCCCCATGGCTTTAGCACAACGGCTATGGAGGTCCGGGGTTTAACTCCAGTCACAAGGCCCGGGCTGTTTCAGGAAAAGGCCCGGGCCTTTCAAGTCTGATTTTAGTAAGCAAAGAAAGAGCCCGGCCTTTTCCAGGAACATGC